CCCTGTCGATACTGCTTCATCACAGATTTGAATCCGCTATTGAATTTCCAGAACTTCAATTCTTTCGCCACGTATGTTACGCAAACTAAAATGCCATTTTAGCATCACCTCTAGAGGGCAAATTGTGTGCGGAGTGGAACCGTTAACGAGGAGAGAATGAAGAGTTGGCTCATGACAGTGAACCACAGCAGTCAGAACAGCAGAACAGCTGAAAGCATGGAAACAGTGTCAGTGCATCACACGTTGGAGTGAAACCTAAGTTAAATTGGTTGAACAAGCTGAAGTCAGGAGCAATGTAGGGAACTATTTTGCTCACGGAGCCAGATGGGGCAAAAACAAACAAGACGAAACAGAAGGTTTTACCAAAGACGACTTAAGAGAAGCCTTTATTTTTTTCCTGCTGAACACTTTGTACATGTAGAAATTCCAGTATATTCATAACTAGTTCTGTGACCAAGATCGAATGTGTACAGCGGCCATAGTGAAGCGCAGCAGCTCAGTCCCGGTGTCAGTAACCTTGTGCAATGCAAGGAGCACGAAATTTTCTTAAACAAATCAGCGATACTTAATCTCTCCCTAAAGGTAGCCATAGATGACTCTGAAATGTGACACCCCCCCTTCAAGTGAAACAACTGGTACCAGCACTAATTGAAATTTTGCATGCAAAGTGACAATGCCTGGGCCCTCGGCAGCATGGATTAAGGCTTGAATAGAGACAGATTCTTTGTGAAAGCCTACTGTGGCGGTTGGCGTGCAGGCCAGCTCCCTGCATCTGCTCATTGGGTGGACTGAGAAAACACTGGATTGTATACGGTCGCTCATTTTACCTTTATCTAATCCCATTTCAGAACCCGCCTCCGTCTGTCTTTTGTTACTCTTCCACAAAACATAATGCTTCCATGTTACACTCACACGTCCATTCCTTACAAAACAATTCCGGTCAGAAACAGCTACCGGATTTACATATGAAAGCATCTTTACCAAACTCAGCTGGATATTCTAAACATTAACAATCATACTGTGCCTTGAACTGTCGCGTTGTCCCAGATTGTGTGAGAAAACGGTACTTAAAGAGAAATACAAATATGAATGTAATATACGGTATGTAATTTGCTGAAGTAAATGGGGGAAAAAAAAAAGTGAAACGTCAACTTGGACAGTGTTTGCCAACGTTCAACTGAGAGGACTCCAGTGCTCAATAGAGCGCTGAAGGAATGCAGCGCATATTGAAATGCAATCAAATCTGCGAGACATTTTTTAGAGGCTCCATGCTGTGATCTCATTCTACCCCACTTCACCATCCACTGCTGTGGTTTCTGTCCCATTATGTTTCCTTCAAAGAAAAAGAGCAAGAAAAAAAAATTTGTTGTATCAAAGTGATCTATCATCCTACTGACCCCAACAATGACTTGCATACAAGTCTGGAGGAGGTTGTTATTGCATCATAGCAACACCAATCCTCCCAGAAAATGTTTGCTGTGCGTTTGCACAGCGCAAACTGTAATACCACAACATAAAGAGGGAGGGAGGGAGGGAGGGAGGGAAGATGGAGAGGGGGGGCGGAAACGGAAAAGCCAAATGATCCGCCTAGTAAATTTCATCTCCTCCAAACAATACAGGCTAGTACAATTTTATGGCAGGGGATGAATCTGAGAATTTCCACTCAACAGAATTAGATGAGCACCGCTGTTGTTACTGTGCCTGTCAACTGAGCACTGATGACAATGAATGGGTAAACTAATGAAGGGATAAATCCACAGTGTGTTTTCATAGACATGTTTGACATAGCTAGGCTAATTTCCCTGGCAGTACGATGTCCATTAATTTTCGAAAAGAGCCTTGTCTGTTCCCGTTAACTAAACCAATAAGACATGGCATCAGCTTACATTAACACTAATCAACAATTTAGAGTTGTTTCACATTCCACAGGGTAAATTAAATGCCTTTGAAAAACGATCGAACGCGACTGATGAATGAATGCCATTTATTGCTGTCCAACATGGCGATTCTGACTAGAGAGGTGGGACACGCTGGAGTGTGGTAGCCTGAACAGGGAGGAGAAGCTGAGGGAAATACAGCTTGACTACATTCAAACATTAATACTTCTAGACCAGTTTACAGTGTTTGCAGCCTCAACACAGTTTGCAGTGCTGACATGCTATTTGCAAAATGGACACTTGAGACACAGCGAGGATTTTCTTAAGTTTGGCCCTGGTTTTAATCCTCTAATCCTCTCCAGCATGGTCCTCGGCCCGATTCATTGATTATTTGTATAACAACTAGCCCTTTCATGTTTGCCCATGAGTACTCCATTCAGTTTCTATAAATTCTTTTTTTTTTTTTTAAACCAAACTTTTGTCGCAGTTTTGTCGTTTTTCCCGCGATCGATGAATAATGACATTCGACGATGTTGTTTTATTTGGCGCATATTAAATGAGTAACGTTCGTCAGTAAGAAATAACACAAGTATGTGAGGATGTCACTCTCTATTAACCAAAAATAACAATGGAAGAAATGTACCGCTCCGGTACTAAACGTGTCAAAACGATCCACTGGAGGGTTCTTTTCTGTTGCATGCTGGGATGTTGTTTTTTTTTTTTTATTTTCAGATTAGAGCTGCAGTGACCTCTTTTTCAACTCTTTATTTTTTCCTACGTAAGCCATCCTCGCAATTTGATTGGACGGTAGACTAGGGTGATTCACAGGGTAAAATGGAGGGGGGGGGCTGCATCGAGTTGGCGACGGGACTAGCTGGTTTCCGATTTTAAAAATGAAGCACCACAGGCCCGAAAGGTAGTTGCAACATGCACAATGGGTTTCCACTGTAACACTAAGTAACAGCAGTTTCTTTTGTTTTCTTGTTTTTTTTTAAACCAAGCAGGAATTGCATTAGTACACTGAAATAGTTATTTGAGGAACGTGCCGGCTGATGTTTGAGGGAATGTATGCTCTTGGCTTTCATATATTCTTCACAGTAAATTTTAGTGCAGAAACAGCCCTCGTGGCCATGTTTGTATTTTTAAGAGAAAGAGGAAACAAGGGAAAGAGGAACACTGTGTGGTGTGAATTGGTTGTTATTTTTGGCATTTTTTACATCCTGCGTTTCCCAGGCTCTTGGATAGATTGGCGGGGATAGAAATCAAAAAATAAATAACTACTGTAATAGCAATCGAGAAATCATAATATCAGTAATTAAATGAAAACAAATCGTTGTGAATATTATGTACATATATACGGGGTGGCGATCCAATCTTACCTATTGTGGAATTAATAATTTTTTTTTACTGACTATATTTTTAAAAAAAATTTAAAAGTATATATCAATATATTATTTAAACACTAAGATGTGGGAAGTGACCATTAATTTAGACAGGTTTTGTATTGTGCTTGCACCACAGAATATGAAAGGAAAATCTGACTTTGTATTATAACATGTAAAGAAAAAATATAATTTATGGATTGTATAAAATGAACATTGTCCATCGCTCACTGTGTTTGTGCAAAGACTAAACTGCACATATAACTTGGCTAAATAATTATATTGGCCTGGCGCAGTGTCTATTGATCAAACCTTAAATACACATTTTCAAGCTATTACACTAGTGTTCAAGCTGCCAATATGTAATGCTATGTAGGCCGCCGAGATTGCTTTTTAGGTCTTGGATATGTGACTAAATTGAAACCATAAACTGGAGCAGTCAGTGGTAGTCTACATAAATACGTATGACGTTTGTCAAAGTCTGTGCCAGTCCTACATGGAACCTGACAGGTCTTTCGATACAAATCTGGGTTGTTATTTCCCATGTACAAATGCTTTTACAGTAAACATAAATGGGAGTACTTTTTCTTCAACTGTTTTTTTTTTTCTTTTTGTTGTTGCTTTATCCTGCGGTTAGATTCGGTTGACTTTTTTATATAGTTCCCTTCGCTCCACCTGTAATTACGAGGTTTAGTTAAACTGACCAGAGGAAGAAGACAACATTTGTTTTCTGGGAGCATCCTCAAAATAGACGGGATAAATGACCGGGCTGACACTTTCCATTCCCAAGTGTGGTGGGTGGCTCCTGTCCTGTCACAGGACACACTAAGGCCAGCTGCACAAAATCACCTGGAAATGATCATTTAAAGCACAGACTGAATGTCCTTAAATTAAAAAGGAAACAGGGCTTCTTTAATCTCCAAATCATTTTTTGAAAGATTAAAAGGCCAATCTTAACAACACTTGAGGACAGAACACTTTCCCTACATGCACCAAAGACCATGCATGTTTTAATACTGCAGTAATAGCAGTGGTCAGTCCTGTATTGTACAGTTTGTGCAGCATCACAGACCAGCTACTGTAAACACATATAAAGGGGATTATATTCACCATTCAACCTGTTCCATTGTGCGTTGAGCCACGCTGACTGCTGCCCTTTGCTGCTTAGCAAAGCTTTGTGACTGCACAGTGACCAGACAGAGAGAGACTTTTGTGGGTTAAACTACAGTGGATGTCCTGCATGCATTTTTATTTTTTTTATTTTTGGCACGTTTAGTCTCAAACCATATTAAAGGAGAAATCCTCGTTTGTCTTTATATCACCAACTGTTTGACAAGTGACACTGACACACCTCCATGGACGCACAGCACCAGCGCCTTTACCTGACTGAGATTTTCTAACCTGGCGTGGCTCGCTGGGCAACACAAAAGCTTGCATTTTTATTTTTTTTATTTTTTTTAAATACCGCATTTAGCGTCTTAATAAGATCCGTGAAGCGTCACCTGCGAGATGCGGGAGCATATGTTTTCGTGCCCCGCGATCATCCCTCCTGCCTGGACTCACTCTGTGCTGCATTTAAAGCATCGCACCCGCAACGCTACGACACATTATTAGATATTAAGGCTGCAGAGAAAGTGATTTAACCAGAATTAAGAAAACCTCCAATCAGGCGCTTTGTCTCAAACTCAAAGCCGGCAGCAGGATGCGGCTGTAAGGCGCTCGGATGGAAACACAAGCTTACCTTCAACAGCTATTACGGCCGGTATGGTCCATAATATCCATAGAATATCCATTATTGGTCACTTAAAAGGCCCAGACATTCAAATAAAATACGTCCCGAAAGCCATTGACAGTAAAAGCAGAGAGGGGACAGGCGGTCCTTCACCTCCAATAGAGCGATCCCAGATAGCAGCGAAAAGCAACTCAAATCTGAACCAAGTTTGGGCGAAACCAAAAAAACCACAGACAGAGGGGAGCACCGAGCATCACGGAAACACAGCAACGCGTCTCGGGCGCCACGTTAATCTAGTCAGTTTCATATAAAAGAGAAACAACAAGTTTATGTTTATAATTAATCAAAGAAGGTTTAAAATATTCGTATCATCGATGCGGCCGCTCGTCAACGGGATCTTTCGTCCCCTTCGCGTCCACTTCACTTCACCCCGCTGTCAATCACGGGGAGAAGGACAGTCCACGCAGCCTTACCTAGCGATAATTAAGTGTTTGGGGACCATGTGGGGCATTTATAAAAGATGGAGCAGCGTTTTCTCACCGCCACACCGCTCAAAATGGAAATACCGGTGATTCTCGCATCAAACAAAGCTTAAATGTGTGTCTGGGCTTCACTGTCAGGCTTCTACGGGCCGTTAATGGACTTTTGGTGCTGTAACAGGTGACCAGACCGAGGGAAGGATTCAAGTAAGTTTGACGAACCACGTTTGTCTTCAGTGTTTTTTTTTTGTTTAAGTGGTTCCTACTTTGCAGTTTTTCACTAATCTGTATTTTTTTCCAGGCCGTTTAATATTGCTTTTTTTTTTCATTTATTATTATTATTATTATTATTATTATTTTTATTTCTTTTTTTTTTTTTTTTTAAATCTTTGTCTGTATTGTTGTTTTGGTGGGGACTGATGCTTGCGTTTTTGTTTATTTTTTCTTTGTATTTTATTATTATTACTATCTTTATAGCTTAATATTTAATAAAACTGCATGCTCTTAAAAATTAAAGCTAGGCTGTTATGTATATATATATATATCATAAATAGATTTCCCTGTAATGTACAGTTGGTTAAAAAGAAACACATTTCTTTTTTTTTATTTAATTTTCTAGCATTGGTACATGAAATATTCCTTTTTTCACAACTTTCACAATGATTCCGTTTAACAGCTTGGACTAACTGTGCTGTTTACATAAAGAGAAGGATATGAGGCTGTAGAGTCGACTCAGGCCCCCTTCAGCTTTCTAAAGATTAGCCCAGCTGTATGACTTTGGGTCCAGGTCATCACTGTGGCGCTCTTCCTGCCGTAGACAGAGGGAAGAGGATAACGTAGTGCATTCTGGTATTGATGTGAAGTATAATAAAATTTGTGAATGAGTCACAAGTCAATCTGTGATTGCATGTCTGCGTTGTAGCTCAGCTTGAATCATTTCAAAACAGTCATTGAGTTATTCAGAAGAATTGTGAGATCAGCTTAATGACTTGGCAGAGGCACAAAGTCTATTTCTCAAGCTTTCCACTAGAGGTTTATATCAGATAGGGGGCTCGTTTAAAAAAAAAACATAAAATTAAATCTAACAGTAAATGCTTAATCAATAAATATCGGCTGCTTTGATTCTTCTTTGTGCAATAAAAATGCTGACGTGTGCATACGTAAGACTGCTGCACACTGAGTTTCATGTTAATTTGATCAGCCAAGCTGGAGGTGCTTTTGAAATATATTCAATTTATTCAGCTCCTTGTTGTTAAATTCAAACTACCTAACCATCTTTTATGCATCTCAATGAGGGAATCGAGTGAATGAACACACCTTGGTATCATTCGGTTGGACCTGAACCACAGTTATTTTCCAGGAACAGAGCCAAAGCAGGGAAGTGAACTGTAACTTCACCCAGAGTGTAAAACTTTTCTTCCTGTGCACGAATCATCATAACACCATAATTAGTTGATGTGATGTTGGCTCACAGTACTTCAGAATTTCAAAACATGACACAATTAATCTTCCAGAATTATTAGTATTGGGCTGTGTTTGCACAAAGTTGATTTAAGTTGGCACAATGGAGCCTGGCTGTACCGTTACTGGCAATCATTTCCCGGCAATCAATAAAAATGCTATACGTTAAATAAATATGCATATCAATAATCATAACACATTTAACTTTTATGGGGTTTTTGCTGTTTTAATGGGATTACTCTTTACCAAGCAGGTCCAAGTTGTCAGTGATGGTTGGCATTAAATCTGAATTTATTGAACGTCTTGCAAGCTCTGGTCATATTTTTGGAATTTCCTTAGAGTAGTATAAACCTCTTTCCCGCTCCAGAAGCTGGTAGTAAAATTCCAGTATCTTTATGCATGCTGTGTAAAAAAAAAAAAACACGGACTGGTTTTATATGACACAATGACAGGCATAGGGGCTGACAGGGATACACTGAAGCAGCTGCAGAAATTACACATATACCAAAAAAAAAAGGCCAAAAAACTGCTTTGTATCAAAGACCAACCATATACATGGAAAGGTACTTAAAGAGAAAGCCTGATAAAAAAAATTTCAACATGCACAAAAAGAAAGTGACAGACATTGTGGGGCAGACAACAACAAAAGCTGGCCTGCACATGTCCTCATGCCAAATTCACAGCACCCAAGTCAAGGTTAAACATGCATGGGGAGTGATGTGTCCTAGATATGAAGTACGCAGTTGCTACAGCTGACTGAGAAACGAGAATTTAGAATAAATTGTTTGTCATCAAACATGCCGTTCTTATTACGTGCGGCGGCGCTGTAGCTATGCAGCAGGGCTCTCATGGGTTAAATGAGCCAGGCTGATTTATTTGCCTCCACTGGGTTTGACTATATTGATTCCAGGTCACTTGACTGGCTGACTTCAGAGCATGTTCAGGTGACTACAAAACAGATGGAACAAAACGGCGAGGCACTGAGAAAGCAGCTTTTCCTTACTGTAATGAGTTCCATACAAGCTCAATATTGACTTGAGCCAGAAGAGAAGTGAAAGATGTTGAAGAAATGATATTAATACTCCTCTAATATTGCCCGCAGAGATCTCTTAGCCACGCTATGTTATAATGGCCACAATGTCTGCGATGGCTGTAATAAAATATATGTAATGCAAAGCAGAAATGCCTGAATGTGGCAGAAATCCTCTCATGTTCGTATGCGACTCCAACAAAAGCAAAGTGTACCGTACTTATAGCGCTCTTTAAAACGGCAGCATCAAAACAGTGCAGGATACAGTAACACTGGCCGCAGCAGACTACATTGATCACAGAACATACCTTATAATGCAACAAATTACCCACAAATGATATCCTAATAATGTGTACAAGTGCACCGAGAAATTGATTTTAACTTAAACAAGCTTGAAAAAGTGCAGCAAGCTGGTCACTTGTATAATCATAGAGAACATGATGTGAGGTCATTACTGTGGGCCAGCTGCATTCTGTGATTAAAGCTCTACAGCAGGACTAACACAGAGCCACATGTGAATTTAAAACTCTCTAGCGTCTTTAAATTTACCGTATCGTAGTTTTTATTTTCTGCGTGTGTATGGCTATGTTTTTAACAAATATAAAATAATCCGAATATAATTTTTGCCCTGATACTAGTAAATGTGAAGTGCAGAAATGCGTTCACATATTAATGCACTGCAATTTCTACAAAATTCAGAGGATTTGACCCTGTTATGATAATTGTGTTACCCTTATGTGAACATGCATGTTGTTCTTCACATTTTAAATTTATTACACATTTACATAATTACGAAAAATATATATCCCTTTAAATTCACTTTAATCAGACACATATTCTTCGATTAAAATCCCTGCTGTGATTCAGTGTAACATTAATATTTCTTTTAATAGCTGCAAAGGAAAACAAAAGCAGATAGGAATTAATACCATTTCATACATCCCATCAAAACGGTAATTTAAAATGCCAGTTTTATTCCGAGCAACCCATGTATGAAATTAATATTAAAAATTCTATTTAGGTTTGAAATATATAATGAACAGCACTGGAACTGCCCCTAATATGTGTTTGTTTGTTCAGACTAGCAGAACAATTTTACTTATTTTCTGGAATGTTTATTTTATCATACTTTCGTGTTTTTTTAATCTAATTCATCAAAAGTAGTATTTTCTTTTTTATATATATATATTTCACATAAAAAAATGTAATTCACATTTTAAATATGTTGACGTTTATCGAACACATACCATTAAAATGAATATGTATACTCATGGGAATATAATTAATGATGGATTTGAGGCTGTTCAGAGCCAGGCACATTGTATGCAAATAGTTTTAAGTTAATGCTTATTTTACTACAAATACAATTAAAGAGAATCTTTATAGCTAATGTTTTTTGTGTGTGTTTTTTTTAAGGAATTTTAGCGCGGCATATTATTCAATAAATTAAAATGTAAATACATTTATGACATATAGAACCACCGCCAGGACAGAAAAAAAGATAACTGAGGTATATAAATGTTGTGGTCAGTAGTCGAAGTGGATTTCCTTTCCAAAGCTAAGTAATGTGTCATTGCATCAACACTGCCACCCAGAGTTTAAGAGCTGAACAGTCGGGTGTTCTACTGAAGAGACTGGAAACTTTCTGCAAAATGTATTCAAAGTAATGCTTTGTCTGAGTTCAGTTCAAGGTGAGGCTTTTTTAATCAACACTGAGTTGCAAGTGCAGCTTCTTTGTTGTAATATTAGTTTGGTATCTTGCTAATTGAACATTTTTATTTTTAAATTAAATTAAAGAAATAGTTCATGCTCTTTATACAAGGTTAAGTGCTTTTTTTTTTCATTAAAAAGTTAAAACATTTGTGTGAATTATTGTTATTAAAATCAGAATGAGTGCAGCGCTTGAGAGATGAAATGGTTTAATATTTTTTATAACAGTAACTGAGAACAGAGTAAGATCAATTTGTGTGTAGACCCATTTTTCAAACACATCTAAATTACCATTAATGATTTTTACTGTGTTGTTATACGAGATCTTCTGATAATTATTTGTCTAAAAGGATCTCAGCTTTAAATTAAAACTAATTTGACCCCAACCCATCGCTCAACCCTG